CCTCAGGAATTCTGGGAGTTGAAGTCCACAAGTCATCAGAGGGCCACGGTTCCCCCACCCCCTCCCCTGCTGCCTCAGGAATTCTGGGAGTTGAAGTCCACAAGTCATCAGAGGGCCACGGTTCCCCCACCTCTGCTTTAGCTCCTAGTCTGGGCCGGTTGGTTCTTGGATGGGAGGCCACCAGGAGAGCCTAGGGGTGTCAGATTTTTATTTTCACCTTTTTGTTTTCTAGACGCCCTTGGGGAAGTAGCCCCCCACTTTAAAACTAGCCAGCTATGATTTAACCCAGTCTGCTGGGCTTGAGTCCATGAAATCGTAAGCTGGCTTGCTTTTGACTTTATTGAAAGGAATGAAGCCCGTTGTTTTACGGATTGGCATAATATATATTTACTAGGCCACGACAGCCGATATAATAACTCACAGGGACCAAATTGTAACTTAGCTTTACATCTTATTTCAACCAGTATATCTGATTATATCTTTAACAAAACCGATTTTTTTTTTCTATATCTTATAAAACAGGGGTAGTCAACCTTGGCTCTTTTATGACTCGTGGACTTCAACTCCCAGAATTCCTGAGCCAGAAGTCCACGAGTCATAAAAGAGCCAAGGTTGACTACCCCTGTTATAAAAGGATAAAAAGAACAGGTAGCTTTTTAAGCACTTTGCCATGAACAAGGATTGTTTTAAATTTAAAAGCCCAACTACCATTAAAATGTAGATTTTTTTCCATATTTTAGCTTGGTTTAGCTATATAAGTCAAACCTTTACTATGGTCTTTAAAACACATATAGACTTTTAACAGAATAATAGAGCTGGAAGGGACCGCCAAGATCTTCTAATCCCACCCCCTGCTCCACTATTATTGCTTCTTAATAGGCTTGTTCCTATGAATAAAGCTTAAAAATATTGCAATAAAATGACACACATTTACATATAATAACTGCATTACAAAAGCATTACAAAAGCCGTTGAAGTTTAGCATGTTTGCTAAACTTCAACGGCAGTTTGGGCAGATACAACAAATAATAGCACCAAATTGAGCAGCCTGGAAAGAGATTGTCAGGATCTTGGTTTATATTATATTGTGCTGGTTTTTTTTCCTGAAGGGCAAATGTCCTGAAGATGGATGGGACGAAAGCACAATTGAACTTTTTCTTCACGAACTTGCAATTATGGATAGCAATAATTTCCTGGGCAACTGCGGTGTAGGTGAACGAGAAGGAAGAGTTGCATCCCAAATGGTGGCTCGGAGACATTACAGGTAAAGGCGGGATTTTTCAAGTGGTTTGATTTGACCAAGGTTTGTTTGTTGAGCAAAAGCAGTGATACAATATAATGGACTCCGGGTACAAAACAGATCAGTTGGGAAAATGTTTTGGCTGGCGACAATCGAAGTTCGAATGAATCTTAGTCTCTGACGTGCTATTGTAATAATAATAATAATAAAGTTGGAAGGAACCTTGGAGGTCATCTAGTCCACCCTCCTGCTCAAGCAAGAAACCCTGTACCATTTCAGACAAATGGCTGTCCAGTCTCTTCTTAAAAAACCTCCAGTGTTGGAGCATTCACCGCTTCTGGAGGCAGGTTCTTCCACTGGTTAATTGTTCTAACTGTCAGGAAGTTTCTCCTTAGTTCTAGGTTGCTTCTCTCCTTGATTAGTTTCCATCCATTGCTTCTTGTCTTTGCCTTCAGGCACTTTGGAGAATAGCTTGACTCCCTCTTCTTTGGGGCAGCCCCTGAGATATTGGAAGACTACTATCGTGTCCCCCCTCGTCCTTCTCTTCGTTAAATTAGACATACCCAATTCCAGCAACTGTTCCTTATATGTTTTAGCCTCCAGTCCTCTAATCATCTTCGCTGCTCTTCTCTGTACTCTTTCTAGAGTCTCAACATCTTTTTTACATCGTGGTGACCAAAACTGGATGCAGTATTCCAGGTGTGGCCTTACCAAAGCATTGTAAAGTAGTATTAACACGTCACGTGATAATACCACTTTACAATGCCTTGCTAAGGCCACACTTGGAATACTGCATCCAGTTTTGGTGGCAGGATAGCAGTGTTCCAATATCTCGGGCTGCCCCAGAGAAGAGGGAGTCAAGCTGTTCGCCAGAGCACCTGAAGGCAGGACAAGAAGCAACAGATGGAAACTAATCAAGGAGAGAAGCAACCTGGAACTAAGGAGGAATTTATAACAATTATAATTGTTATAATTAAAATTCTACCAGAATCAATTGTAGTACTTCCCTACAATTTCACCCAAGAGGAACTACTCCTTCATTGGCCAGGTTTCATCTGCTCCTTAGGTCTTTCCAGTTTCATATTTTCACCAATATTCTGCTTGATTTCCAGATTGATTCATGGGATTGGAAGGTCAGGAGACATAGCGGCGGTCCAGCCTAAAGCGGCAGGCTCCAGTCTCTTGAACAAGCTGACTAATTCAGTGGTCTTGGATGTTTTAAAGCTGGCTGGTAAGTATGGAGCAAAGTTTTTGGGCATCAAATGCATCTCCCTCTTTTGAGGGGTCCTGGGTGCTCTCTGAGCTGGGTGGTTTTCTTGCAGACGTTTCATGACCCA